TTTCTGCATATATAACCTTTGTCAGACACAGTGATATTGTACTTTTGTAAACATATCAAAACAAGAAGAAAATTGAAACGAAGGAATAGTATTCTTGGCTAATTAATTTCATACCTTTTCTTTTACATAGATTTCTAACCTTTCTTTTATGCTCAAGGAACAGTTCCTTTGTCTTTAATAATTTCTTCCCCATCACTTATAATTTAAGTTTTTGACTCATAAGACCGTACCAGTCTCTAAACTACATATATAGCAAGCTGCAGGAGTGGTCACTGTTCGAGAAACAATAACTAATCAACACAATTAAGCAATTTGCTCTCCATTCTTCTTCTTATACTTTAACGCCTTAATCCCATAAGTAAGGTCAACTACATGAACCAACCTAAAGACTTCCTAGAAAGTCAACCATCCTAGTACTACTCTCAATCATTGTGGCTCATGTCAAGCAATGGGACAGAAATTTATTAAGTAAAGCAATTAAAAGCACTTTGTTCTCCATTAATAAAGTAAAACGTGTTTACAATTCCCAAGGTGTAAAATGCTTAGAAACCATCTTTTTTCTATTTAGATCATGTAAAATCCATAAATTATAGTTTAACATCCGAGTTCTTGTCAAAAAAAAAAAACATCTGAGTATAATTCATCTCACAAACCAAAATTAAATATTTTCACATTTCCTCTAAATTCATACCTTAAAAATTTCCATCACCTTTCTTTCACAAATATGCAGTACAGTTCTTTGGTTTAGCCACCTCTATTACACTTTCTTGTTCCATATCTGAATGATTCTTTGTTAGGAAGAGACATCAGACCAATGTCTGACCCGATGTCACTTCTGGCAGAGCCTAAAATCACAAAAGTAATAGAGTTAGCATATGCCTTCAGCAAGAACAAGTATGAAATTCAAGTTCATTGAAAGGTATGATCTATGAATTCGTAAGATTAACTCCAAACACGCAGTAAAAGTATCAAAAAAGGTTTCTAATCCACATCCTACAATTATCAATTATATGCAACTAATTTCTTTTTATTCTATTTATTCTAATATGCATTACAATGATGCTCAAGAAAACCAGATTGATTGATTCCATGATTACGTTAAACTAACCCGTTATCTAACACTACGTGAAATACTCTGTATATAGTAGTTCTCTGATTGGAAAAGGACTATAATCTAGGTCAGAGTATTGTTCTGATGAGAACTCATTGCCTCTGCTCCTTGTGGAATCAACTCTTTAAGAAGCTTCCCATTTCTCTGCAAGACCGTCTCCCACAAGAATCCTTACCACTTTTGACATCTTTGGTCTCTGGTTATGGAGGATTGAGTACATAGAAGAGCTACTTGGACTATTTCGTCAAGCTCAATCATGTCATACTCATTCATCAAGTCCTTGTATGCCATAATCTCTAGCTTCTTTTCTTGGTGAATCTGCTTCACCTACAAATACAACCAAAATTTAGAGGAAAATCAATTTTGAAAAAACATACTATAATATTTTTCTTGTGTTAAATTTTCTTTCATTCTAACATAACTCTTTTCTGGTTTGCTGCTTTTCCAAAATATAGTGCCCTCTAACCAGCTATAAACTCTAGGACCAGAATTCCGAATCTAAAGACATTTTTTTTTCCTGAAAAATTTCCAATAGAGAGGTATTCTGGAGCAATATGACCCATGGTGCCCTGAACAGCTGTAGTGACGTGTGAAACCTGGTGATCCAATAGCTTTGCCAAACCAAAATATCTAACAATGGCCTCACAACAATCGTGTAGCAGGATTTTAGCTGCCTTAACATCCCTGTGTATCATCTTAGAATCACATTACTCATGAAGGTACAGTAGTCCCCTAACTGCCCCTACTGCAATTCGTTTTCTGATACCCCGGTCTAGAGCTGGCTGTGTTGCATGGTCAATTGTTGTGAATAAATAGAATTAGCATATTTCCAAACATTGACAGGTGTGAAAGTAATAAAATATTGTTTGCACCAAATCATAAAGGAAAGATTAAAGATTCGATCTTTTCACCTTAATTTTTCTTGACATATCTTAGTTATATATTGTAACAAAAAGGGGGAAAAAAAGATGGTAACCTTCAGTTCTTCACTAAAAAAATGGCAGTTAAAAAATTAAACCACAATTATTAATTTTAGTGCTCTGACACAATTAACAAAGCCATAATTAAGTGGGTAAGGGTCATTACATTGATGTGAGCAAAAGACCCGTGGTATTCAATGCTACCAGGGTATCACATCAAATCATCCGTTCAACAAACTGATTATATGCCTGTGATGGTTATTGATCTCATTAACAATGGGGAGTGGGGTTTACTGAAACTGAACATACATTTTCTGATTAAAAAGGGTTTGAACTCTCAATCCCTTCCTCCCTCCTTCTCGCTCGTTCTCTCCCTGCCTTCCTCCCTCCCTATCTTGTTTTCTCCCTCCCTCCCTCTCTCCCTCTCCCCCATCTCTCTCTCTCTCTCTCTCCCTCCCTTGCCTCAGATCGAACTGATTGTAACCAGAATTCACCAAATCAAACTCCAAACCCACATTTAAAAAGTTCGAAAAAAGAAGAAAATATACCTGGATTCAGGTCTGGTTTAACGGCGGAGTTGTTGCCGATATTTTCGTCTTACACCTATTTTAGGAATAGCACTAAAGGAGATATGTTGAGTTAAAGGTGTTGAGCTAAGGAATAGCACTAAAGGAGATACTATTTAGGAAAAAAGAATGATCCACACACAGAGCACCTATAATAGTGGTCTAACAATTATGCTTTAGGTTCACTGCATGAAGAACCTAATTAAATTTCTGATCATATATGAACAATCCATGCACTAATTCCCTAGAGCTGAAAGTCATGATTGTTAAATGAGGAGTGTGGCAAGCCAACTACTTCAGCCTTTTATATAACCAGGACAGCAACAATGATCTATAGAATTCATGCTTAGACAAAAAATGAGCAACTAATTGTATAGCTTCAAAACATAAAAAAGCTACAAAACATATAAACTCTGAGAAGAAATATGATTTCAGGTGCTTAGACAAAAAATGAGCAACTATTAGTTTTATCTCTATGCTGAATTTAGCTTTACGTTGTCCACAAATCAATCTAATACAACTAAAACAACCTTAAAATTTGCCAAATTATGTGTACCAAGTTACTCGATTTCTCTCTATATCAACAGACCTTCCAAAAAATTCTCTGTTGGCTGGACGTAGCAAAAGAATGAGGATGAATGATTACATACAGAAGGTGGGTGAGTCTGAACTGTTGACCTCTTGAACTTGAGTTACGTGCTTATCACCATCAGACGATCAACTGTTCAAATTGACAATTAAGTATGGTGTGTGAACTAACACGATCCTGTTAGAATTTGATTTTCTTTGGATCCTGTTAGATTGCATTTCTGGAATTGAATAAGTTGTCCTCTTAAACTGCACTCTTCTATCTGAAAGTTATGTGAATAACAGGAGCATATCGTCAGGTCTAAGTTGTAGCACCATCTATCTTAGTTAATCTATAAACTAACGAAAAATAGGACAGACAATAACCTATGACCTTAAAACGATAGGCCACATTTGTAAAGAGGTTATATTTTCACAGAACTGAGTACACAAACCACAGATATATCAGGAGATTCAGGACAGATTAAGTATTTGGTAATTGAAATAGCAGTACTGTAAAATTACCTGTGACAAATGTGTCCTAGACAATAAATCACCACACTCTTGAACAAGTGTGACTTCTCCACTATGTACTCTAGCCAAGTCGGATATGAGAACATCCATTTGCTCTGCCTGCAAATGTAAATCACAAAGTCTCAGTAAAGAATATTAAAATTAAGCTGCACTTCCCGTACATTGCACAAATCCTATAAATATAATTCAAAATTGCACATAAAACAAAAATCCAAAATATTGTTAATTTCCCACAAATATAAAGCAAGAAATTGGGAAATTTGGCATGTAAAACCTGGAATCTATCAGGAAAGGTCATTGATATTGCCCCACCAAATAATGGGTGCTCAGTACATGCATTATCCACCATATTTTAAGGGAAAAAAAACTGCATTTCAAGCAAAAAGAAAACACAAAAATCAACCAATTTAAAGGGAAGACGATGAATTAAACCACAAATATAGTAATGAGAAATTGACAAAACCCAAAACATTCATACCTATCATACCAACACTAACAGAAATTTGATGGAAAATTAAGGAAACCTTGGTAAATTAAGAAAATTAAGAAAACCTCGAAAATTGATGGAAAAATTAAGAAAACCCAGATAAATTATCAGGAAATGAGAGAAAAAAAAAAGAAGAAAATTAATACAAACCAGATTATTAAACAAGCAAGATAAAGAGAACCTGAAGATCTTCAGGAAGGTACTCGTGCTTCATAAAAAGGTCCATAGCAGGCAAAAGACGCTAAGCGTCAACAATCTCACCACGAAGCCGATTTAGGGCTTCTTTGATATCATGTAAAAAAAAATTTTAAAAAATTGTCGATTACAAAGTTTAGCCTGATCACTTAAAAGAAACACTGCAGGAAGCCTAAATGGAAAATAAATTTAAAAAAAATAGGCACGCTAATTTAAAAATATAGCTTTTGGGGTTCATAACCCCAATATTACCTTAAAGCATTTGTAGTCAAGGTGTGGAAAAATATAATACCATATAGATTAATACTCCTTTTCCTAAACTCTAATTGATTAACAATAAACTGACAAAATGTAAAGGCCTCAGGCTCACCTCTGATGTAATACCGAGTGTCAAAGATTCCACAGCAGCTACCATCAATATAATTAAAGTCAAATCTTGACAAGCCTCCCAAAGGAAACACTAAGCCAAGTAATAAGAAAAATAAGAGGACAGGTCAAGGTTTCCATGACATTAGCTCTAATTGGATTAGATATGCATAGAAGAGAGAGCACCATAGAAATCGTCTGTTTTATGTTCAGATTTTCATTTTTTCAAAAAATTTACTAAGTAGTCAATTAGTGTGGCAAGACCCTTTTAATTGGCCATAGCTATCATGACAATGCCTAAAACAACTACTAATGCATATTACACTCAACTAATTAACTAATTTGTCCATAACTCCCTTCTTGATTCCGACAGCTTATGCACAACCATTAAGCTAAACCCAACAAGATGTCAATTAATAAAGCCTACTTTAATTGGGACAAATTAAACTAAGATAATTATAAAAATACTTTTTCAGCTAGAGACTAAGGGGGTAATGCTCTTATAGAGCTGAAATACTAAAAATATGATTAATTAAATATGTGCAGTCCTATCACTATATTATTCCCTTACCAAGCACAGAATTCAAACACCCAAAAAACAAAATCTAAAAGCCTAATAAACATATTTATACTGTAAACACAATATAAAACCATCAATTGAATTAGACCACTTGAATGTACTTCAGGATTTGAATATCAAAGAACCGAGGTAGGTATCAACTTGATCACGGGCATAGCAAATACAGCTCCTGCTACAAGGACCGACTGTAAGAGGTTACTAACTCTCTGCTCGTTGACTCTAACTGGCAAATAAGCATCGATTTGATCAAGTCTAAAAGTACTGGCTGTACTGTTGTCCTTGCCTTCTTTTTTGTCTCCCTTCATGACTGCCTGTTTCAGCTCACTAAGCTCTTTGGCAACTTGATGAGGCTGAAAAAATAAAAAAAAAATTATCATCCAACATTATCCAATATTTTAAAGATAAATTATCTCTAGTATCTATCTTGAAAACTTACATCAGCACTTTGATCCATTTCAATGAAAATATCTTGCATCTGGCCATATATTTCAGTACTGCTAGCATTATTCTTTATATTTTGTTTTGCAGACTCTACCATCTTCTTCCCAATCAACTGTAAACAGTGGACATTGTTTAAGGTCAGCGAATTAACTGGTCAACAAATTAACTAATTAACAAATTCATTTCCACAGGAACACACTTACATGCTTCTTGAGATTAGCAAGGCTCTTGGTATGCATTGACGATTGTGGAAGGATGCCGTTTGATGGAGGGAGTCCAATCAGTCCACAAAGCAATGTCTACAATGGAGAAACCAAATTATAAGGGATGAAAATCAGTCACTCTAATCGACTTTATTGAGATATAAGGTTGAAAATTAACAGGCTATTACATAATTTGAAAGATACGAAAGTACATTTATACCTGTCCCTAGTAATACAGATGACAAGCATAGCATTTCATAATTATTCATCGCATAGAATGTTTTGTCTAAAATTCTTATAATTATCTAGTCTAACCTTGTTTAGAGAGAGGAAGATTTTGTTCTTTTTGTGACTTCTTCATTTCAGCGGCCACCTCTGCTTCAGCTTTCTCAAGCAGAGCCTGTTTGAACATGGCACTCATTGTTTCCATATTCGCTTGGTTAGCACTGTTTACATCTCCAGCTGCCTGTGTTTCAGCTTTCTCAATCAGAGCTTGTTTATACATGGAACCCATCATTTCCATCTTTTCTTTGTCTTTCTCCATCTGCGTATCCATAAGAACTCCCACTTCCTTGTCAACTGGCTTGAAATACTCGTTAATATCACCTTTCTGCACATAAAAACTAATGAAGTTGTCAAAAGCCCTGAATTCACTAAAGGTCAAACCCGAATGCAAAGTGCAAAATTAACAACAATAGTACAAGGTATACATATATGATTCCCTTGTAGTCAAATTAAGCATAACCTGCAAATTTATGATGTCATGCCAGCAACATAAATATTATATAAATTTATAAATAACTGAACCAAGATTAATAGTCACATTGTGCAAACCCCACTATAGTTAGGGATTCACAATGATTTTAATAAGATAGTCTTTCTTCAAATTGGGTAAATGCTTAAGCATAAGCACATATGGAGTACTTTGTATAAATGAGACAATTTTTCTGAAAATCTCAGGAAGATAAATGTGAGCGTCAATTTCAAAGAAATTTAGAATTCAGACAAAGGTACCCTGTAGAATTTTCGTCTCAACACTAACTTGCAAGATGCAAATTTCAGTACTTAAAGAGAGAGTCAAAACATAACTTTCTACTGTCAACAAGACATCAACATAATTACGTGCAACAAGTAAAAGATCCCTTGCAGTCCAATCATAAGAGTTACTTGCATAATTAACCAGTAAACAAACTCACCATCTCTTCCAACCTCTTATTTACATTTTGCATTTCTTCCACCATTTTTCGAATTTCAGACAGCATAATTTGTTCAGGGATCTTTCTTGAGGCCTCTTTTTTTTTTCTTGTGCCTGAATAGAGAACACACATGGAAGAAAATGTCAATTTCACTAATCAATATAAAGATCAGAAAGATTAAATGTAGGCCCCAACTCATTTCTCCTGACATATTCCTTAAAATCAATCAATTTGGTATAACATCCATATCATCCATACTGATGTAATCAGTCGTCTCCAAATGAAAAGAAACAAATAATATAACATTTGATCGGTGAGAAAAACAGCCTTGGGTTCTAACTTAAAGCAATATTAATTCGCAAATGCAGCAGTACAACAGAAAGGTTGCGTAGGAAAATGGGCTAAGAGTTTGTGTTCTTCATTCAAACATGGGAATTGTGACATTACAATATTCTCTAAGTATCTGCCCCATCATCTATTCTACGTAAAGCTAAACTGAAGAGCTCTCACTGTGAAAGAATGTGAACACTCCTTCCCTAGACCCCAACAGCCCAACCCCGTGGCTCCATTCCCCACATGTTCTTCTATGTGTATCTAGGGTCTTAAACAGTCATCTATATCATATGCCATGGATGGCTTCTTTTACTCTCACACACAGCCACTGTGACACATCCTCACATCTCAACACTTGTTTTCTTCACCCTCATCACTTGATTATTCTATGACGTATAAAACTTTTCCTTAGGATAATTCAATTTCCAAACTCATAAATAAAAAAAATGATAACATCAAAATCTTATCTTATGCTCCCTTGATAAACGAATTCAAGGTACCATTTCACTCAGCCTCACATCAAGCATGCAAAAATAGTACATGAACGCTAAAAGCGTGTAAGCATTAGGCAGCTAACTTCAGGGCAGATGGAAAACATTCACCAAACTACACCAAATGTATACATTTCGAAGCAGAGTGATTCCATAAATTATCATAACAGCAAAAGCTATACACAGGTCACATGATGTTTAAATTCACAACTCCAAAAGAACTTATCATAAAGACAATTCGACTAATTCCAACACATTACAGCTGAGGACCTGAGGTAGAGTATATCTAGTGCTCTCAACATTCGGCCGATTGACAAATTATTACAGCATAATTGTTGTCATTCCTACAGGAACACCTTTGAATCTGGCATATTAGTATCCCACAATCCTAATCCCCCCAACAAAACCTTCTAACACAATACATTCATTCGGGCACAACAAAGAATTTCCCAAATGATTCACAAAGAACCCAAAATAGGGTAGCAAACATCATCATTAATTGTCTAATTTAGATATTTAGCTCCTGAATTTCACATTACAACACCCAATTAAACTCTTTCATAAAAATTGCGAAACCAAAATACTCTAATATAGAAATCATACCAAATGTCAACAAAAACCCTAAATTAGAATCAACAATTGAAATTGACAAAGAAAAATAAAAAGGGGAGGAGAGAAAGTACAGATCGAAGACGCTGCTCAAGCTGTAATATGTAAGATCAAATCCGACGCTCTTCGTAACCAGAAAGAATCCTAACATAGAACATTGCTTTCTTCCCAAATTCCAGTAGCCTCTTCATCACACTCTTTCAATTCTTAGAGTGTTAAACTTAATTTAGGAATTTAGGAAGTAATGCAAGTAGGAATTTAGGAAGAAACTACCCTAATATGATGAAAGATTTCATAATATTAGAAATTTAGAGTCTCTACAGATTCTGAAAAAAATGGAGGGAGGAGAGATGGGTGCAGAATGGCGAGTGAAGAGAGAGAAAATAAAGTGAGAAATGAGAGATGGAGTGATAGTGAGAAAGACTGGTTCAAAGGAGAGAGAAAGTAAATGAAAGAATTTAATGGTGGAGCATGAAAAGGGGGAAAAGCAGGACTAAATGAAACCAAGAAGACAAAGTGCTGAAATCAAGCATGGAAGGCAATTTCGAAAATAAAAAATAGCTTGAGGGTATAAACGGAAGAACACTATAGATTTCAAATAGTAACACAACTTCTGGTTTTTAAAAGGGTAGAGATTATAAACGTTATTTTTAATAATGAGATAGTAAATTAGTAATCATTAGGCCATGTTTGGTAATTGACTTTTCAATGGCTTTTTGGTTAGCTTTTGGCTTTTGGCTTTTTTAGGTGGTCAAACAGCCAAAAAATGTGTTTGGTAATTGGCTTTTTAGTCAGCGAACAAGCTGGCTTTTAAGCCAAAATGAAAAGCTGCTTTGAGTAGCTTTTTTGTTGGCTTTTGGCTTGTTGGCCCACAAATTATCTAATAAACAGCCAACAAACAACAATTGATTTACCAAACACTTTTATAAACAGCCAATTTCAAAAGCCATTATAAATAGCCAAACATTCCAGCTAGTCAAACATGCCAAGTGAACCAGCCAATCAACAGTCAACCGTCAACAACCATTTGCCAAACAAGGCCTAAGTGAATTCTTATAAGATTGTGTCAAAAATTCTTATAAGATAAATATGTTATTTTAAATTTCTAGTACTACCTTCGTTAAATATTATTTGCAACGATTAGACATTTTTCCTCTCTCTACTTTATGTCAAATCGTTGCAAATAAAATGAAACGGGGGTAGTAGTACAAATAGAGTTTATAGCTAGCTAGCTAGATAAATTTCCATGAGACTAACGTGGTATCTGATAATACTGCTTTGGGGTTTTTTGAAATTCCTCGGGATAAAGGTCTTGAACATGTCTAAATGGCCGCAGACACCTGTAAAATAACGACTTGAATATCCCATTATCGAGATATTTACCTCCGACGGTCAAATTAGTAACTGGAAAACGAAGGAGTCGAAGTAGAGATCAGAGAAGTTAGAGCAATTTAATATGCCTTGAATAATATGTTTCAATCTACTATCTTATCATTAATCTTTAAGGTATTTATAGGGGTGGAAAAGTGTGTCATCTAGGGTTTGATGACCTAAAGTAGTGAGCGCTGATTGGCGGAACAATCAAGTATGGACATGTGTCCTAAGAGGTGTCATTTTTGGGAATTGAGCCTCCTGATATAAGAGGTCTTCTCTCTTATTTAGGTGCTCCGATGTTGCCATGTGTCATCTTTCTATTGAGACACATGTCGCCTTTTTATGGGGTACGGTCACATGTCAACCTGGAATTGGACCACATGGTGGGGCATTTTTACCTTAAACAAATACCATTAAGACCAATGATGCACAAAATATATCATTAAATTTTAAAGTTTCATAAAAAATGGCCAAAATACCCCAATCTATATAAAGCTCATACAACACGAGCATGCACCTAAATTGACTCAAATAAAACTAATTCACTTTCTAAACTCTACTTGTATGCTCTCAGAGCTTGTGTAGTATAAGTTGAACACCATGTTGAGGCTGTAGAAATATAACAGTCATGGGTGCATGAACATAGTTCGGCGAAAGCTCAAAGGAAAAGCGTTGTAGAATCATTGATAATGCCATTTTAGCTTCAATCATAGCAAAATTTTCCCCAATGCATTTTCTTGGTCCCCAACCAAAGGGAAAGAATGAGTTACTTCCCCCTGTTGCCTTAGAAATTCCTTCGGAAAATCGATCTGGCTTGAAGTCATCCGCATCATCACCCCAGGATTTCTTGTCTCGCTGAGCAAGAAGTACTGGGAAAGTAACCAATGCCCCTGCAGGAAGTGATAGTTTTCCTAGTTTCGTGTCTTTGTAAATCCTCCGGTTTAGTTGGATTGCTGGTGGATATAACCTCAATACCTCGTACAGAATCATGCTCATCTAAAGGAAATCAAACAAATACGAGTACCTTATAATTAAGTTACAGAACAGCATATTGCATATATGTGTTGTGACAGATGCAAGAAAAAATAACAAACAAAAAAACAGAGGTTTATGTGATTTGTAATAACAGGACATTGTATGTGCTAGGTCACGTGCAAGGGAAAAATTGATTCAAGACATATTCTAACGATATGAAAACATGAGATATGAATATCATTGAATGTAATATTTACTTGAACCTCAAAATGTTGAAGTGAACAAGAAATTAAATGACTTACTGTTTTCAAATGACTTAGGCCTTTAAAGTCTAGCACACTAGTCCCAAATGTTTGCAACACTTCTTCCCGTGCTCGTGCTTGCCAATCTTGATGCTTGCTCAATAAAATCAATGTCCAAACTAGTAGTACAGAAGTAGTCTCCTGTCCAGCAAAGTAGAATAGTTTACATTCGTCCATCACTTCCCGAAGATTCATTCCAAGCTGTTGATTCTTGACACTGCCAGCAGCATTTTGCGTCTCTTTGTGATGGGAATCCATGAGTGTTTCCAATAGGTCAAATTTTGGTGGGCATCCAGCTTCAATTTCCCGCTTCCTTTTGTTAATTAATCGTGTTAGTAACGTGTGTATTTGATCTTCAATTTTCTTCAACCTCCTATTACTCGGTGTTGGAATGTACCTACACATAAGAAGCAGGGCAAGATCAAGCTAAGCAAATGTGGATTTTCTGAACAGGTAGTACTAATGCTAGAAATTAAAAGTATAAATGTATGATACCGGAGTCCTGGGATGTATACTGACTGCATAGTACCAAGAGCAATGACAGTCATCTCCTTGAGAAGTTCGAATATTTGTTGTCCTTCCTCATAGCTACTACCAAATGCTGCTCTAGAGATCACATCAGCCGAGAGTGTAGTAAGATATGGCCACACATCTAGCTCATAAGAATCCTTTTCACCTAAAATCTTCTCCCATTTAGTGATCATCTCCACACAACCATCATAGAATGCAGGCAACACAAGCTGTAACAAACACCAACAAAATTTCGAACAATCAAAGGACCAACTTTATTGCCTAACAGTTAGGAGAACGTATAAATCACAAACAATAGTCAAAGTGAATAATAAAACGATTTAATTATTTAAACACGGAGGGTATATACCTTTAACTTCTCCATGTGAAAGGCAGGGCTTATAATTTTTCGATGTGCAGCCCATTTATCTCCTTCATAGTTGACAAACCCCGGGAAGAGCTTGTCAACGATTGGGTTCAATCTCGGTTTATGAAAATCCTTCATATTTGTTAAGGCTTCTCTGATCAAGTCAGGGTTTGAGATGTTTATCATTGGTGTTGCACCTGCCCAAATGAAATAGTCTTGTCCTACATACATTCATCATTTCCTCATCATTCATTTCAGGAAATTTTTTAAATTACCACCATATAGTCCTTTCCAAAAATAATCTTCTTAGCTTCAATCCATCTACATAAGACAATCTTAAAACTCGATCATAGATCGATATAAAGTTGGGTATAATGAGGATTGTGAAAGTTACTAACGTGTTAACTAACGTGTGACTCTATCAGATTGAACTCCGAACCTCAGCCTAGGTGAGAGTTTTTCCATTGAGCTTACAGTCACTTTCAATTCAACAAATACAAAATATTATTTTTATAACTAGCATAAAACACTGGTATATATGGCTAATAATTCATAACAAATAATTATCTATATGAAATCCAATACCCATACAATTTAAGTCTTATCAAACTCCAACATTTCAAAAATTAATATAGGATCAATGTATTACATACTCCCTCTATTTTACTACGTAGTTATTAAAGTTTAAATTGTACGTTTGTCGTGCATAATTTTAATCATAAATATTTTTAATTACTCGTGACTTGCGAAGACATATATATATATAAACACGATTTGATTGAAAAAACTAATAAAAATAGAGAAAGTACATACCAATTCTGGTAACTAAATGATGACGAAGAGGGTCAACACGTGGAAAATAATCATTGGAGAAGCCATTCATGGGGGTTTTCAAAGCTTGATTACACATAAAGGAGTAATCTTTCATATCACCAAAGAATAGCTTGTAAGAAGTACCAGGTATACCCTGATTTCTTAGCCATTTCTCTTGTTTCTTGGGTCTTAACCATACCCAGTTCACCACTTTGATTATGCTTGTTACAATTACTATAATTAGTAATGAAATTAAGATGGAGTTTAGTGTTGGGGTTTCCATTTTTTGATCTTTTTGCTGAATAATTTGTCAAATTAAAGCTAATAATCAATGTATGAAAAAGAAAAGGCAGAGGAATTTTGTATTTTTACTAGTGAATTTTATTGTTGTTTTTCAAAGAGTTGCTTAAATGAGAATAAAATAAATTATCTTATCATAGTCAAGATGTAGGACATCAGGAAGTGTAACAGGTGTTAGATATAATTGAACGGTACGCTTTGGTCAGAATTAGCTGCTAGCTCTGTCATCACTCTTGTCCAACTCTGAAATCTAGGTATCTCCGAATTCCTAAGGGATTGTTGTACTACCTCCGTTACAAATTATGTGCAACAATTAGATATTTTCCCTCTCTGTTTTATGTCAAACCGTTGCACATAACTTGTAACGGATGTTATATTTTAAGATTGATATTATTGGGAATTATTGTAGGATACACAAAATATATAATTCATACTCCAATGGTTGTCCTTAAGAACTTGCTAGTAATTTTAATTAGTTTCTAGCTATAAGCTTAATCATGGGTGCTATAATATGTAATCAATTTGTTTGAAAAAAAAAATTGTCAAAAAGAAAATGTTTAAAGTAAATTAGTAATTAAGAATTTAAGATGGAGACAATGAATTAATAATTAGCTAGTCATTGAAATTCAAACTAATTAGATAGATAATTAGCTTGTTATTGGAGTTGCTCTTAATATAAGTCCAGTATTAACAAATTTTGTAATGTTGGAAAAATGATTCACCTCTAATATCATAATGGGCAAGTACAAAGTACAAAGTAAAAAATGATTCGAACACCCAACCTTTTATAAGAAAGATGGTTACTTAACCACCTAAACCAATTATAAGTTATGTTATAAACATGAAAATAAATGTATATAATTGATAATGGATTACTAAACACTAGTTAATTTTTTAAAACTTGGTTTTAATTAATTAAATAATTTAGGGCTTGTTTGGCATCAGTTTTGGTTTTTCAGTTTTCTGATTTTTTTTAAAACCAAAAAACAAAAACAGGAAACAAGAAAAAGGTGTTTCCACTTTTCTGTTGTCAGTTTTCAAAATTATCATAATTTTAATAAGTTTATATAATTTTAGATTCATTATGGGATACATATCATATACTTTTAGAAAACAAAAAAAATCAAAAAACAGAAAACCACAGCAATGCAAACGAACCCTTAAATAATAATCAATTAAAGGCTATCGCGTGACACAACTAACTTTTTTGTTTGTTCAATGAATTAGAAAATATTAATGGGTATAAAATGGATAAAATGAAAACTCAAGGTTATTAAAGAGTTAAGGTAATAATTAGGAAAGTTTTATACTTTTCACCTTTTGGGACCTGAACTTTTTTTTTTCACCGTTTGGGACCTGTGGTTAAATTTCAAGCCATTTAACTCATCTGAAAAATTTACTAACCAACTTGAGCATTAATTGGAGTTATAAAAAAAAAATTCCAAACCAAAAAAAATCGTGAACATCAGCTATAGAATTTTTTAAGCTAAAAAAAAAAAAAAAAAAAAAAAAAAAAAAAAGCCTTTTATGTTCCAGTTTTTTACCTTAAACTAAAATAGCAAACCACAATCCAAAATTTCAAAACAAAAACAACAGCATCCAACATCCACAACATCATGCAGCTTCCAACATCCAAAAATAGCAGCAAGCTTTCTTCATATCATATTAACTTTTTTTTTTCAAATTCTCTTTTCTTGCTCTCCCAAAACCAATGTTTCAGCCTACAATCACAAGTATGAAATGGTGAAACAGCCAAACAGGAAATGTAGTTAAAAATTTTCAAATTGCAATTTTTTTCTACTCTGTGTATTTGTTCTCATTAATTTGTCGTTGCATAATTGAATTAAGAAGATGGTTTTCTTACCTTGCATTTTAATGAAATTAGAACAACCTTGTTGGTCCATTATACAGTGAACTTTGTTGTGTTAAATGATTTGTGTTTGATCCATGACTTGACTGACTTAGTACAAATGCATGACTTGATTGAGGTGGAATTGTGTTAAGATGCTTAATATACCGCTAATTATCTGCACTAAAATCTACTTCAAAGCTTCAATTTTTTTTCAAAGGGAGGTTGATGATGAAGGAGTACTTTGATGAACAATGAGAGTTGAAAAGGCACCTATTGTAATTTTTTTTGGGTAAACAGGGTTACTCTTTTTTTTTGGAGAAACCATTAAAACGAAAAACATAACATTAAAAAAATGAGAAGTAAAACTGTAGTCAGTAGAAATAGAAATAGAAGTGTTTCAAAAAAAAAGTAGAAGGAATCGCAGGTGTCAAAGTGGACTGCAGGTGGTCGCCGGTGAGGAATCGTGGCTTTGTGGGTCGCAGCAGGTGGTCACCGGTAGGTATTCCAAGGAATTTTGGCTAATCAATTTCTAGGGTTTTTGAAAAATTAACCGGATCGTAAGAAAAATTGGGTTTTTGTTTTTAAAAAAAAAAAGGAAAAATGGAAAAGAAAAATCCAACCTTCGCACTTTTTCCTTACAAAAATCCAACCTTCATTTTATTCCTAAAAAATCCAACCTTTATACCCCACCTTCTCCAACATATCCATTTTACCTGTGACCTGATAAACAGGTAATTTTTTTTCCCTCTAATTTTCCCTTCTCACTCCTCTTCTTTCCCTCTCCTCTCTCCTCAAACACTGAAACCACCAACCCCACCTCCGCCACCACCACCACCACCACTCATCACCGCTGTTTCACCTCTCCTCTCCTCCCCTCCCCCACTCTCATGCTCCCTCTCTATCTCTCTCTCACCTCCTCCTCCATGGATCAACCCTCACATGCACTCGGCTCCAGCGATATCAAAGAAATCAGAAAATTGGGCCGTGTTTCAAGCAGGTCAGGGAGGTTTTTAGGGGCTAGGTTTAGGTAGGGAGAATTTCGGGGGGTTAGGGGATTATACGGTGGCTGACGTGACCAAAAAAGGGGATCGGAGGTGCAATGACGGAAATTAATGGAGGTTTTCTGATTTGGAGTTGCGGGGGCTGGGCGATTAGCGGGGTTTGGGTTTGGAGTTGGTGGCTGGGCAGTGGATTTGGTGGCTGGGTGTGTGTTGGTGGCGGGGCAGTGGAGTTGGTGGCTGGGCGTTTTCATTGGTGGGTGGGCGTGTATGTTGGTGGCAGTGGAAGGTGGTGGTGGTGTGCGTTGGGTTCCGGTGGGCGCGCAGGGGAGGGCGGGGGAGAGGGAGTGGTGTCAGGGGAGGGCGGGGGAGAGGGAGTGGTGGCAGGGGAAGGTGGTGGTGCCGTGGTCGTGGCAGGGGAAGGTGGTGGAAAAGGGGGTTTCTTAATTTTTTTTGTTTTTTTTTTATTTTCTTTTAATTAATTTTGTTTTTTACTAATTAAAAAAATAATTAACCTATTAGTAGCTGACACGTGTCATACAACTTAGAAAAACCGGTCATTAACAGGTAATGGATCTATCGGAGAAGATGGGGTATAAAGGTTGGATTTTTGAGGAATAAAATGAAGGTTGGATTTTTGTAAGGAAAAAGTGCAAAGGTTGGATTTTTCTTTTCCATTTTTCCCAAAAAAAATGGGTTGGCCTTGTACTGGGGGCGTCAAAATGGAAGAGGATCCGTCCCCGAAACGTTTCCGGAGCTCCTCCCAGCCGTCCCCAAAATAGCGGTATGGGAAACGGCTACCCTACGGCGCACCCGTGCATCCTTGGTCATTGATTACATTGTCGTCACCAACCATTATTAGATGGTTTTTAGTACAATAACGATTTATGGTCTGTTTCGATTTACTGAAAACAACTGAATTGAACTGATCTGATTGGAGCTGAACTGAATTGAACTGAGCTTGAATTGAACTGAGCTTAAATGAATCGTTTCTGAGAAGGAAATCATTAACTGGACTGAACTAATCTGAACATGACAGAATAGACCCTTAAATTATTTATTCAGTCCGTCCCTAAATTATGTATTCCCTCCATCCTTAGTTTTTTTTAACAATTTCCGTCCAAAATAAAATAAAATTACTCCGTAACAATTTAGGATCAGGCCCATTGACACCTCCTCAACAACGCAATGCCACAAGCCCACAGTACATTTAACAGCAAAGAGTCTATATTCAATAACTCTCCCATACTCGTACAGTACAGTAGCCCTCCAATTTGCAAATCGCTCAAAATGAATGGTCGGAAAAGGCGAACACCAGTTCTAGAACACCAGATCTATGGAGGGAGGTCTTGCTCAGGTCGCCGGCCAAATCCCTTTTACGATTCAGGTGTGTTTGCAAAACTTGGTGTTCTTTAATTGATTCACCTGATTTCATTTCTTTGCATCTCAAAATTTCCAAGAATAATTGGGAAAATACTTATTTATTAGCCACTGAACCTATACCCAAAACTTTTGACGATTACAATTTCACAATTCGTCGCAGTGATACATTTAGAAAAACTGGTCAATTAGTCAAGTTTACGGATTCAAAATTGTTTATCTTAAGTGATATGATTGATGGGTTGTTGTTAGTGCGTTGCTCTCTTGATTTAAATCGAAGTGAATTGAGTTTGTGGAACCCTTGTATTAGAAAATCCGTGTCACTTCCTCGTTGCCCTCTTAATTCTGGGGCAGAAATTGAGAGACATTTTTATCTAGGAGTTGATTCTTCTGGTAATCATAAGGTTGTTGGTTTTGAGCTTGGTGATTTTAAAGCTTCCGAGCTGTCAACTCAAATTGCAATTTATTCGCTTCGTGATCATTGTTGGAGGGTTAAACCCAGTTGGATTAACATTCCCAGATGTTGGTTTGAAGTAATTGAGTCACAATATGGGGTTATTTATTGCCAAGGGTCTTTGTACTGGAGACCTAAGGTTTGGTCCTGTGTAGAATATACCCATCTTCTTTCTTTTGACTTGAATGCCGAGGAATTTAGTTATCTGAAGATGCCAGTTATTGGGGAAGAAATGCTCAGGTTTTATTTTCTCCTAGGTGGGTCATTGGCACTTTTGGGTATTTCCCGAGTAAGAGCTTGTGTATGGGTAATGGAAAAGAATGCTGGAAAGGAGCTGTGGCGACGATTTTCTTCTGGAGAGTCTAAATTAGATGCCTATGAATTATTTGTTGAATGCAAAGGTAATCATCATTCGCGGATGATGTATATTGAAAATTCTGGTACATTGTTGGTACATAAAGTTAACAAATTGATGTTTTATAACATTTTGTGTCATCAAGTACAACAAAGAAAGTATTACCGATGTTCAAATCTGGTTACTTGTATGGAGAGCTTGGTATTGCACGATGGTTCAACTTCAACCTAGCTCACTGAAAGGGGAAAGCAGGACAAATGCTTGATATTGAACGATGACTGATTGACAGGTAATAATATTGTGTATTAACATATGGGTTGTTTGCTACTTGTTTTTTATAGTTTTGCCGTTGATTAGCTATATCCCACGATGAATTATTGGATGTAACTATGTAAGTCATGTTAATAAAGTTTCTTATCCACTAAGAGTAATGTTTGTTGGCTTTGGAAGTATAAACAAATGAACAATAATCTCAGACTGAGAGTCATAATATCAATGCCAGTTAATCTGATAATGTGTCTGGCATGATCAAATCATAGAATTCCTGCAGTATAGAATATGGGCCTGAGTAGGATGTATCGTTTAGTAAATCTGTGGAATGTGTCAGAACATTTTTGTGTTAGCATTGACAATGGTTGATAGTTTGTGTTGACAATTCTAATTCTTAAATCTGAGTTTTATCTTCGTATAGGTTTAGAAACATGCACATTAGAGATAAATGAATATTTGGGATTTTGGGTGTGTTTTAGATGTTAGTGACAAGATAATTTTAGATGGGAGAATCTGAGATGCACATTCACCTGTATTGCCTCTGACAGTAGGAGTGGAGATTTGAATAAAAAAAATTTCGATCAGTATCTTGAAAAACTATGCAAATCTGACAATATTGTGAATGGTTAAGGTAAGCTCTACTTACCTATCAGTATCATGAAAAACTATGCAAAAATCATTAAGGTTTAATCACCATGATTGGAGTGCAGAAGTATTAATGTCTTGAGCACATGAGCTAGTTTGGCCAAAGGTTGCCTTTGGCCATTGGTCCATAGCATATTTTGCCTAGTGCACAGTTTTTAGTCCTCAATAGAAAGGAAACAATGAGTTTTTTTTTCTCTTTATGCCTTGATAATGCCTTCAGTAATGCTCTGATCTGTCATGAATAGATCCACTTCAGCAGTTCGAAGTTTCCTTCCCAGTCAAGAAGTGAAGAAACAGTACTGTGAATACTTATCAGCAGTCCTGTAGTTAGCAGTAGGCTAGTTGCCATCCTACTTGTGTCGTTACAACTTACAATTCATTCAGGCTAGTTGATTTGTTTGTGGATTAACACCTTGTTTGTGGATTAAGTGTAAGATTCTCTTTGTATGTTCAATTCAAATATTGTATCGCTAAATATCTTAATTTATAAAATATGCTAATTTCATGTTGGAAAATAGTTCTATAATATGAATCTAGTGATATCTTATTTAATTTTTTTCACACTAGCAAGTACCAGAGTAGTCTATCACTCGCTTGTCCTATGTTGTAATCTTATATTCATTGATACCTCTTGTAGACTTATATCAGTTGTTAAATCTTGTTTTCAGCGGTGACTTATAGAATCTTTTTTAGAAATCTTATTCACAAGTATATTTTGGAAGCATTTAGAAATTGTTGTAACTTTTAATTCGAGTATAAATGCAACATAATGAATCATGTACAACTAAGTCAGGCCCTAAATTGAGAGGAGTACAGACTACAGAGGCATTGATCCATAATCCAAAGTTAAGGTCTTGTATAGAACTATAGAATATAGTATAATGCATTGAATTCTCCAATTTTTAAGTTCTAAGTTTGTAGAAACTCTTCAAGTATATTACGTGGTTATTATCTCTTATCTTGCTAACAAAAGAAAGAACATTAATAAAAGTATTCACTAGTTGTCATAGATGGTAAAATATATGGAGATTTTGTACAAAGATTATGATCATGATAATATGCATACATCAATGTTGCGAGTCTTCCATCAGATGTAAAACTAGTTAATTAACTTTGCGATAATATACATCGATGTTACGAGTCTTCCAACCAGGTGTAAAATTAGTAATGTAATTAAGCTCGATATTACGAGTCTTCCGACCGGGTGTAAATTTAGTAAAGACGTAAAGTAATCTAGATATAATATATTTTTCTGATTTACAAATTTTTTAGAAAAAAGGGGAAATGATTTACTAAAGTCACGTGAGGAAGTTGATGTGGGAAAAGTCCGGAAAACCTTGGTTAACGGTGGCATTCCAGACATAGGCTAGTCTTTTACAACATTGTTTGTAATTTTACAACATTATGAAATCTATACTTATAATATTATCATGATTATATTATGAAATCTATACTTAAAATGTTATCATGATTATATTAATTGCTGAACTGAAACTATTTTTATTGAACTGAAACTATTTTTGCTAAACATAAATTATTTTTATTGATTTTCTATTATATTTCTTCTTTTAAGGTTATTGATTTTTATTGAAGTGAAATTATTTTTGCTAAACTTAACTTATTTTTATTGAACTGAAATTTATTTTACTGAACTGAAATTATTTTTACTGAGTATTATTTTTTAAAGAAAATAAAAATTGTACAAAAGCAATCATATTATCCTTACTTCCTTAGGAAACTAATCCGTAACCTGTTTACATTCTTCTATCAAATTTAAAGCTGAGCTGTCACAAATCACGTTAAAAGTTTACAAAAAAAGGTTAAATGTTATTTAAATCAATTCAATGATATAATTCGGACAATTATAGTCTAGACAAAAATTCTAGAATTAATTATTAAAGAAAAAACCATCATACAAGTATTCTTTTCATAGCAACTACTCGTATTGATTTATTTATTTATAACTGATCTTAACCTTCAATATAAAAAATTCACCAAAAACAAAGACAGGCAAAAAAATTGAATTGAAGATTTAGATGAAAAAAGATAAAAACAAATAAGGATTAATAATCTAGCATTAGGATAAGTAAAGTATTTATGTAAAGTATCTTAAATTCCTAACCATAGTAGGATATAGTTAGTTGTATATGGTTGTTAGACAAGGGTGCCTATATATATATACTTATACAGGTCTCTCTAGGAGTCTTTCCTGTAACGTATTGTAAAGTTTATTATACTTTATAAATACAATATAATTACAATTTACAAAAGCTTAGCAGTTTATTTTTGTAGGAAGTTTAATATGGGGTGCAAAAGGATGAGGATGTCGGACGACCAATTAATTGCCAGAGAAATTCACATACCAGCGGACTTACTAAAGGAAGAAATATTGCCAAAGCTACCGGTGAAATCCCTACTAAGATTTAGGTGTGTTTGTAAGCTATGGTGCTCTATAATCGATTCCCAAGATTTTAGGATACATCCTAAAAATTCGTAAAAGCCCTCATTAATTCGAAAGACCACAGTTGGACCGGTCAAAATATATTTACTCTTCAAAGCATCGATACATTTAAGAAAGTAGATAATCTTTGTAAAACATATGGAACATATGAATTTCATGAAACCTGTAATGGGTTAATCTTAATGTCTCAGAAGTTGTTTGAAGACAAGAGTTTATTGAGAATATGGAACCCTTGTATTCGAAAGTCCTTGGTACTTCCCTCGTGTCCTTTGAGTTCCTACCCATATCATCCATTGACATATATGCTAGGATATCCTTCTTCTAACGATGAAGACAATAATTTTAAGGTGGCTGCCTTTGAATGTCATGAAGGAACTAATGTTTCGATTGCAATTTATTCATCTCGAGGTCATAGCTGGAGCTCTGCAATAAAGAGGAATGATGTCCTCTTCACACCATCTCTAAACAATCGTGTATTCTATCAAGGGGCTTGGTACTGGATTACCAAGACTCATCTCGTCTCCTTTGATTTTGATTCCGTGGATTTTAGCTATGTGGGTTTGCCGGTGGATGTCATGGAAGGAAAAATCACTAGGTTTATTTTCCTTGTTTGTGAGAAATTAGCGGTTTTGAGTGTGTCTTCTAAGAGTTTTTGTGTATGGGTTATGGATATGGATAGCAACAAGAAGTCGTCGTGGAGGCCATGGCTTTCAAGAGACTCAACTATTATTGAGGATTTATCATCTCGAATTCACGGTTTGTCAAACATACGTTCAAGGATTTTCTATAATGAACGGGACAGAGATACATTTATCTTTCGGACCAGGAAGAAAGTGTTTTCTTACTCAATTTCTACCCGGAAAGTAAGAATGTTGAGATCATTCTATAGCTATAGTAATGTAGTAACTCTAGATGCTTATGCAGAGAGCTTGATGTTGTACGAAGGAAACGACGGTCAGAATTTGACATCATCATATCCTGCCCATGACAAGAAGGTTGTGGCCTGGCCAACTATGAAAGATCATTGGAAAGATTTATGGATGTGAACTACACAAATATTTCCACTTTCATTAGAATTTATGATGTATTCAAATGTTTTGGGATAGTAATTTTTATAGATTATATGTTTTGACATCCTACTTGTGTCGTTACTATCCATTCAGGCTAGCTGATTTGTTTGTACTGTGGATTTACTGTAAGATCCTCTTTGTGGGTCGCTTAAAACAAAAATTAGACTATGTTCAATTCAGCTTATTTAAGCAAATATTGTATCGCTAAATATCTTAGTTTATAAAATATGCTAATTTCATGTTTGGAAAATAGTGCTATAAAATGAATCTAGTGATATCTCATTATATATTTTTCACATTAGCAAGCACCAGAGTAGTCTGTCAGTCTCTTGTCCTGTGTTGTAATCGTATATTCATTGATAACTCTTGAAGACTTATATCAGTTGTTAATTCTTGTTTTCCCAAACTTAGTACTGATTCTAAAACTACAAAGAATTACTTTAGTCTATATATACCCTCTAATTTCTAGACCCAATTGTTTCTGAAAAACGATGTGTAGTTGACTAGTTGATGTACCTTGATTCAGAGAGCTGCAGATAACAATATAATCCATGATCAAGTTTCTTCCATTGTTCGTTATTTTTACTCCACATTCATTAATACATATGCATTTTCTCTATAGTAACAGTTTTAAATGAGCATCATTGGATTAAGGACTTAAGGTATGAGTCTATGAACTACAATGATTAGTGGGAGCAGAAACATGTGGACAAAGGCAGATAAACCAGTAGATAAAATTATTCTTTCCGAACTTGCTGCACTTGGATATCCTGGGACCGTCTCAGCATTCTGAAGATTATGTAAACAGGCTTCTGATAGATCTGATTTGTACATGCTCTTCAATAGTAGGATGCAGTTGTGAGGATAGATGTTTTGGTGATCATTTGTCATGTCAAATACAGAATACATAATTGCTTTTGATGAAAAATGTCGCGGGCAACCAATTTCTTTGTGCTATTTTATGTGATCTTTAACCATCTGGCAGAATATGTACTGCACCCCTTGACATTGCGAACAGGTAACAGCCAGCTGAGCCAGGTAACCCCGGGCATTAGTGAGATGGTTTACACTCTTTCACAGCATATACTATATCATATACTCTACCAAGTACCGGCTGCTCTTGATGCTCATGACTATGAGCATTAAACTCCCACTGGCTCAGAGCTTTCTGATTTAGTTTCTCACTCTGTAGTTCTGTTCGCCCCTGCCTTGGCTCCTTCGATTGGTGCTGATTTTGTTTAAAAATGTCTCCGCTGTAAAATTTGTGGCAAACATGTTCTTGTTCCCGACTTTGAATTTCTAGTAATAATTAAAATATTGATTTTTTGAGTACAACCGAAGATAAGCAAATTACCGTAATGCAAAGTAATTTGTTTGCAAATGTCAAGAACTCTTCAAGGTCAATTGAAAATTACAAAGAGCAATATTGTCAAGAATGGTATGAAACTGATGAAGCCAACAACCGAAGAACATGACTGCTCCAATGAATCCATTGAAGCCAACCAAGCATCGCATTGGTAGAAGAAGACTAAGAAGCTCCAACCATTGAAATTCAACACAGGCCAGTGGCATGCAAAACTTTCCTTTAACAATACATTCAAAAACTCTATTTAATTGGCTATAAATGTAAATATGTAATTACAATAGGAAAGTTTTCATGACTAATGAATGGAAATCGAAAACTTAAAGCTAGTTGAAACAACGATATAAAATAATCACGGTATGTAAGGAATGCAATCTTTAAAGAGCAATAACCAAGAAATGAGTTTATGATAAGTTCAGAGTAACCAAACAACAACTCAGTGAAACAATGTCATAAGTAATCACTAAAATTAATCAAAGTAGAGCGAGCGAGGGGAATCAAAGTTTGCCCTTTGGAAAACAGCAAGCTCTCCTCATAAGTAAAGCACATTGGAAAATCACTCTTACTTTTTTTTTTTTTTTTTTTCGAAAAACCCTCAAAAGGGAGCTTAGATTAATAAATCAACATTTGCAACATCTAAAATGCGATCCGGGAAGTTATTACTCCACACTCTTTGACCAAATTCCCAAGGTTGGAAATGAGCCAATTCATGTGCTACCCTATTCCCGCTCCTTTCTAATCGGTTGTAATTTCTG